TGACCTCGTTGTCGCAACTTGGTCTTGTTGTCAGGGCGACTATGTAGAACGCACCTAGTCCGAAGTAGTCGCCCTGACAACAAGACCAAGCTGCGACAACGAGGTCAACCCATTTCTATAAATCGAAAGAAGACTGCAACCATACCAGAGGCCACATTATCTTGGTCTTTATTTATCCAATTCTGATGATGCTCGTTATGTAACATGATGGGAATAAGCTCAGCCTGCCCTCGCCCAAAACGAGGATGGGTGATTCGTGGACTGCATCAACTTGAACGTCGTGTTAAAGCCAAATGGCCGCAGTACATCATGATTCAGCTGTCGTCTTTTAGTTAGAGTGATCTTCGAATCTCTTCATTATGCACTTACATACGAAATGACATTTTAAAGAGATTAATCAAAGCCCAATTACTCTCCTATCTACATTGTTCGGATATGTGTCGGGCTAGAAGAGCTGCTTCACAGCCCCTTACGGACATTAGGTTAATAAGTAAAGCGGGGGATACATTCATTTTGACGGTCTACACTTTCAGAGCCCTTCTGTTTTAGTAAATTTGGCCCCGCAGCTGTGAACTTGCGTGTGCTTAATGACTGTAAAAAACTGTCTGACTAAAATAAATAAATATTTCTTTAGGAATTTTTGACCATCTTGAACATTTTGCCGATTCGATACTTATCAGTGGTTGCAAGTTGTATTCAGTCCAGAAAGGATCCATTGTCCAATGCCAATATGTACTTTTAAGAGCTCTAAGGTTATTTTAGATAATATTACTTTTTAAGGGTATCAGTAATTCCTGAATGAGAACTTAGTCAGTTTAGATCGCTTAGAGTGAATTAGGGTTTTTCTCACAATTAAATGAGTAGGCCTCATCCAGAAGGGACTGCAATCTCAGCAAAATACTCAGTGAGATGCGATACTAGGTCGTGAGTACTGCGCTTAGAAGCCACGGGTGCCAGAGGGTCCCAGGGCAGATGCGCCATTCAAGGCAAGCCAGGCTTAACCTAACTCATCCGTTTTATAGCGGGTTTGTCGATTAAACAAGCATGTGTTTACCACTACTTACTTTTGATACAAGTAGGTATCCAGACTATTAGTAGTTTATTATGATCTTTCACGTCAGCGAAATTGACAAAAGTATAGCCATTACTTTATTTGCTATTCTAGTAAATGGCTCCAAATTCATATTAGGCTTTAGTAAATTAAGGATTTCGTTAGAAAAGACAAATACTCATAAAAAAGGAGAACTCAGCAAAAAGCACTCGCTATAAAGGAA